CTTAGTGAGTAACACAAGAGTCCCCCAACTGTTAGTTATTATTACTGTTATTGTAATCATCATCATAGGTATTACTATTCTATAAAATTCTTTGTTTGAATTTCAAGAACATTGGCCAAAAGTTTAAAAGGAAGTTTTAAGTCCAGTTGTGGTCAAGAGGTTGTGGAGCAGTCCCCATTTGGGATGGGCCACCATCTACCCTCTCCTACCTGTGACCAGGGACATTTGCTGTAGTTGGTTCATGGAGACATGAGGGGACTGTTGGGCCACCCTCTCATGATTCTGGGGGGCCTGCTGATGGGCCTTGCCTTTGCCCAGGTCTCCCCTTGCGTGCTGGCCGGGATGCCAGGGTGGTCCACATTCCGTCTGCTCCGTGCAGACCCTTTTGGGCAGCTCAGCATCCACTCCACCTGGGATAGCTTGTGGTAGCACCTCCATAGAGGGGCCTCATCCTGTGGCCATCTGACTGGCCTGACCACAGAAGCAGCAGGTCTGAAGGGGCAAGGTGAGGTTACTCCCGTAGGACAGTGTCCTGATCTCGGTAGTGTCCCTTAAGAAGGGCACAGGCAAAAATTGCTGTGTGTTCAGAGGCTGGCTCCCAGGACGTCAGGCAGAGTCTGTAGAGACGGCTTAGAGGGACCACAGCTGCCCGGAAATGAGAAGACTTGGAGAGGGAGTCATTTTCCAACCGAAGGGCTGTCCTGTGACAAGAGAGCAAACTCCTGTGTCACCTCAGACACAGCTTCGAGGGGCTACAGGAGGGGCGCTCTCCCATCAGGGCAGTCTAACAGGAAAGGCTGTTCCTCTGCCCTGTTGGTGGGGGAGTGTGTGTGCACATTTGATAGGAGGGGTGGGGCAAGCGGAGGCTGGATGACCCCTCACTCAGGAACGACAGCTAACAGTTTCCAGCTACTTACCATGTGCCAGGCACCGTTCTGAACACTTTATGTGCAATAATTAACTTAACTCGCAATAGCCCAGTGAGGGAGGCACAGTTAATGCCCCAGAGTGAGAAACTGAAGCAGAGGAAGGTGATGCCCAGGGCCACACACTAGTAAGGAGCAGGCCCAGGTACAGCTGTGGTCTGGCTGCACAGCATGCACTCAACTGAACCACTCCCGCGGCGCTTCCACTGGGACGCCAGGTGGAGGACAAGCCGAGGGCCGTGCTTCTCAAACTTTACCATTCCTATGAATCATTCGGAGATCCTGTTAAGTTATAGATTCTGATTATGTAGGGGCCTGAGATTCTACATTTCTAACAAGCTTCCAAGAAATGTGAGTATTGCTGGTCCATGGACCACGTTTTGAGGAGCAAAAGCCTTGGAGCCCACTGAATCTCCTGCAGCTATAAGGTTCTAGGTGTGCCCTTGGGCCCCGCTGGCCTCCAGGAGAGCTCAAGCTTTATCGGGATTGTGGTGGGAGGGAAGAGATCAGGGCTAGGGCCCTGGGGGCCAGCAGGTCTCCAGAGAGCTGACTCCATCTCCTAGATGGGCATAGACCCAGCCCTTCCTTGTGTGTTCTCTCGTGGCCACAGTTTGTGCCTCAGGGCACACCTCTCCCAGGAGGACAGGCAGGGAGGTAAGACAAGCCCCAACACAGACACCCACACGCACAGCCACAGTCAACAGACAGACACACACACCATGTTGGGCCTGGCAGTCTAGATCTTTCCAGGAACTAGACAGAGTGCACATGGCCACCTCAGCTGCAGAAGGCCTTTCTCTCAGGCTCCCACTGACTGGGAGGGGAGGTTACAGCCTAGGAAGTGGGAACACGCATCTCGTGGGGCCTGAGGTTTTCTGAGATATAGCACCTCATCTCCATCCTTACTCTACCTGGAGGACCAGAGAGGCCTCCTAATCTGAAGCCGGCTTCCCTCCCTCTCCATCTTTAGGCCATCCTCCCACATGCTGCCAGCATGGCCTTACGAATCAAAACAGAACATGGCACCTCTCCTCCCACTTAAACTCTCCAATGGACTAACATATTTATGTTTTGAAAATTCAATGACTCCCCATGGCCCACATCGTAAACTACTTACCTTCTGTACAGAAGGAGTTAACACAGCAGGTCTAACTGCTTATTCTTAGAAAGGCCTACTCATCAGCTTGGCCCTTCCCTGGCATCTGGAGACTGAGATTTCTGGAGGGTTCAAACCATTAACCAGTAAGAGTGGCTCCCTGTGTCTAAACTGTGCAAACATTATGGTTCATGCTGAGCACCTGGTTTCCTTCCGGGAGTCTGGAAATTTAGTACATGCCAGGCAGCGGGTGCCTATGTGATCAGCCCCTGTATTAGGGTTTTCCAGAGAAACAGAACCAATGGGATCTATATCTATATCTGTATCTATCTACATCTATATCTATATCATCTATATAGAAAGAGTGATTCATTTTCAGGAATTGGCTCGTGTAGTTGTCAGGGCTGGCAAGTTTAAAATCTGTAGGGCAGACTGGCAGGCTGGAAATTCGGAGATGTTGCGGTCTTGAGCCCAAATTCTGCGGGGCAGCAGGCTGGAAACTATGCCGCAGTCTTCAGGAGAATTCTCTCTTTTGGGAAACCTCAGTCTTTGCTCTTAAGGCCTTCAACAGATTGGATGAGGCCCACCAGTGTGGAGAGTAATCAGCTTTACTCAAAGTCTACTGATTTATATGTTAATCACATGTAAAAATGACCTTCACAGCAAATAACTTGGCATCATAGCTTAGCCAACTTGACATAAAGAATTAGCCACCACACCCTCCAATAAAAATCCTGGGCACTGAGTCTCTAACAAGCTTCCTCGGTTGGCAATGTTTTGCTTGTGTTGTCAAGACTCGTTGCTGGGGGAAGTGGGCGTGTCCTGTGTGGCTCTCCGGGAGAGGACTCTGATTCAGCTCTCAAGAACAATTTCCCTTGCACCTGGTTTCCTGCAGCCTCGCCCCATGTGCCTCCCCCTTTGCTGGTCTTCCTCGCCTCCCGTTCCAATAACTCTCAGCTGTGGGTACTACTCCATACTGAGTCCCGTGAGTCCTCTTAGTGAATCAACGAACCTAGGCGTGGTCTCGGGATTCCCAACCCATTTTCAGATGCTCGGATCTGGGCCTGGCCAGCCTCCTCAGTTCCAGTGACTGCTTCTCTCCGCCTTATACCCCACATTTCCACCCTATGCAGCTGCCTAGTACCTAAATATGTGTGCTATCTTATGCCTCCATACTCCAGGATGCCCTTCTTTTCCTCTCTTGGCCTGGCTAACCTCTATGCAACCATCAAGACTCAGCTTGTTTTGGCTATCCATTGCTGTGGAACAAACCATCCCAAAACACAGTGGCTGAAGACAGTAACAATTTACTATTTCTCATGATTCTATTGGTTGACCCAGGCAGTTCTACTTTCTATGGTGTTGGCTAGGGTGTCAGGAAGGGAGGTTCAAATGGCCCCACCCACATAGCTGGCAGTTGGTACTGGCCACCAGCTGGTAGTTTTGCTGAGGCTGTTGGTTAGGGGTTCAGTTCTTCTCCATATAGGCTTCTCTGCATGGCTGATTGAGTTCCCTTAAAGGATGGCAGCCAGGCTCCAGGAATAAGCATTCCAAAAGGGCAAGCTCCAGTATGCAAGTACTTATCCAGCTGCGGCTTGCATCATTCTTGCTGATGTCCCATAGGCTTAAGCTTACAGAGCCAAGCTCATCACAGGAGGGGACCACACAAGGAGATGAATACTCGGGGGTATAGTTCACGAGGGCCACCAAAGTGGCAATATCCCACTTAGTTTAAACCTTCTCTGACCTCCGCAGGCCCCTCCCGTGCCTACCCATTACGCACTTACACACTAGAGTGAAACAAGCAGTTTAATTGTTAGGACTATGTACTGTATTGCCACTTATATTTGTGGACTGGAGCTCCTCTGAGGACAGGGACTCTGTCTAATTCCTCCCTCTGTCCCATTGCTGGCACAGAGCAAGTTTGCAGAATGAATGATTGAATGAGAACAGTAACTGTCATCACCTCCTTCACATCTGCCAGGTCCAAGCTCTGTCCCTACCTCATTTAGACATAGGAAGTTCAACAGCTATGAGATGCCAAGTACGCTAAGTCCATGAGTTCCTTAAAGCATGGCAGCTAGCTCCTGTACCCAGGCCCTGGCATACAGGAGGCTCCTAACACATCTTAGTGGAATGAATGAATGAATGAGTGAACTTCCTAGGCATAGTACTGACATTTCCAAGCTATACAAGCATTGTTTGTTTTTTTTTGCTGAGGAAGATTTGCTCTCAGCTAACATCCGTTTCCAATCTTCCTCTTTTTTCTTCTTCTCTGTGAGCTACTGCTACAGCATGGCCGCTAACAGACGAGTGACGTAGGTCCAAGCCCGGGATCCAAACCCAGGCCACTGAAGTGGAGCACACCAAACTTAACCACTAGGCCACCAGGACTGGCCCTGTATTAACTTCTTTCTTAAACGTACGTGTGATCAAGCCTAGCTGAAATCACACAACTCCACATTCCACAATGAAGCAGCTCTGTAGGGCTGCATGCCCAGCTAGGCTGGGGCAGTGGGATATCATGCAGAGAGACCGAAGAAATGACCTAGAGACAGTGGGCGAGACATATAGCTTTATTGGGACTTACATACAGGGAGAGAGTCCCTGGATATAGATCTGTGCATCGCTACTGCCCCCCAGGAGATGCTTGTTTAAGTAGGCAGAGGAACAAAGGCTGCATGCTTGCCAAGGGGGATCATCCCTGTATGACCTGCATTCCAGGGACCAGAGCCCTCCCACCCCCCAGGGCCTCTGTGTTTCCTCAGATCTCGAGGGTCTTTGTGCTAACTCTCCCACGCTCACAATTGGGTTGGCCAAGCCCAGGACTGTTATCATTGTGGGTGCTGGCACATAGCCCAGACAAGGACCCTCAAGGACACATGGTCTTAAAGGGGCACCCTGGCTAGTGCCCCTACACTCCACCCGCCACATGTCCGAATGGCCTTTACAATCTCATTGCTCCAGTCTTCTGTGGCTTCCCTTGAGCCAGACACAGAGGAGCACTGTAGTCAGAGACCATGACAGCAATAGACAGCACAACATGAAAATAAAAGCAGCAGTAAACAGGCAAGGACAGTAAAGAAAACATGTTGCCAAGTGGAGGGGAGGGATTGTATCCAAGTGGATACTGGGTTGGTGGACAGGTTCTCAACAGCCTGTACGTGAGCACGTAAGGAGGCCATCACAGAGGGAACACTGTGGGCATGATCAGGGATATACACACAGCATTCTACTTTAATCAGGGCACAGCTTCCTCCGTGGGCTGCGGTAAGCATGTCCAAGGCCATTCTATTTTGTAACACTACTTGTCTCATTTGAGAGGTTTCTTCATTTAGTAGAGTTATTGCATGTCTGGTATCACTGAGGGCTCTTGCCATATGTTGGGCTAGGGCAGACACTTGCCATTCTACATCCACAGCCACAGCCGGAGGGGAGAAGACAGCAAGGGGGTGAAACAACCCTACAGTACGTCGCACACGATGGCGCGCACGGACTGCCTCCCAATTAGAAGGACGCTGTTGAAGGGAAGACAGGACGCGTACAGGGATGTAAGGGCGCCCCCATGTGCATCTGTCAGTCCAGTTATAAGGCAGATAGGGCCAGCCGTGTGTGCCACAAGCCCACAGCCACCCCCGAGGAGAGGCATAGGCTCCTCTGATGGTGTTGTCTTGTTTTCCCAGCCACATATCAGCAGTAATAATAATTGTTTGGTTACACGTTGCTTTAGGTGTCCACCCCACATTTCTTGAAATACTTTTATTTGGTGGTGCAGAGCTATTGTGACATTCAACACACCAGGGAAGGGACCCTCTTAATTCTATTTGTACAGCAGTTAACCATCCTACGCCATCAAATACAGAGTACCCTGCCTTTGGGGTTGTATTAACCTGCTCACGCATAAGCTGGGAGATATGCTTTCGAGAAGCAGCATAAGAGGGCAAGGACAGGCTACTTGGTAGGAGGGGAGCAGAAATGGGAAAGTGGGCGGCGTTCCTTCTCTCTTGCAGGGCTCTCCAGTCAGAGGCGTTGGCAGCTTGGAGACGCCATGGTAACCCCGTGGTTGAAGAGAGAGGTAGCTCGCTGCATACCCAGCAGTTGGAGCGATTTTGTATATCAGCAAAGGTGTGTGCCCAGGCAGTGAAGAGGTTGGCAGATATCATCCTAAGGACGAAAAGTAAGATGTTTAGAGGGGATTAGAACAGGGAGGTCATGACCATCCAGCAAGACACACACACAGTTGCAGTGTCTTGAGTCTGTGTGGTATTGGCCTATGGTTTCAAACCAGGTGGGCAATACCCTACTGCTTGTCCGGTTGGTGTAGGCACTGCAGGGGTGGTGGTAAAGGATAAGGGAGGAACAACGACACACCAGAGGGAAAGGATGAACATACCTTGGGGAATTGGAGGCCCTGGATTAGTAATTTGGAGGTTTTGGGTGGCCCCCCCGTAAAGAAGGGTGTCACTGTGATAGCCTATTCTAAGCCTGTTCCCCAAGGGGCTAAGAGACCACACCAGCAGGGCTCCACCTGCCAGTTCCAGGGCCAAGTGACCACGTGGGTCCTGGTAGGGAGTTCTTGTGGCAGAGGCAAAAGCAAGTTGTTCTGAGCGCCCAGCTGTGGTTGCAGTTTTTCTCCTTGATTAGCTCTTGTCTGTAGGTGGACTGTCGAATCAGGTCCCTTGTCAACACCTGATGTGCACTGGGTCGGGTGTGCCTCTCATGTTTATTTCGTTGATGTGTTGCAGTTGCCAGGCATCTTGTCCAGTGGGCCAGGGTCCTGTCTTCTGTCCTCAGTTGTTGTTTCAGCAAGCCATTCATTCATTCCACTGGTCCTGCAGCCGTGGGCTTGTATGGCAGGTGAAAATGCCAATGTATATCCATCTGATCAGCACATGTCTGTACCTGGTGGTCAGTAAAATGCGTACCTTGGGCACTGTCAATGTCTGTGGGAACACCGTACCCAGCACAGAGGTCTTCCAGGCCTCTTATAGTAGTCTTTTGTGTGGCCCTCTTGCTGGGGTATGCCTGTAGCAGTCCTGTATACGTGACCACACAAGTAAGGGCATACCGATAGGCATCAGAAAGAGGCAAGAGCCAGATGTAGCGCACCTGCCAGTGTTGAGCAGGCTGGTTGCCTCTGGCAGTTTGGCCTGTGTCCGGGGAATGGCCCAGGATCTCTACGAGGAGCAGGAAGGGCATGCCTGAAAGACCTGCTCCACAGCAGCATAGTGCAGGGGACGCCCCAGGCCTTGGCAATAGCCCAGAGGGTCTTTGTCCTTTGTGTCCATTCTTCTTGTGTAGACACTCTGCCACTTTCTCTGCTGGTGCTTCTTTCAGGAGGTGAATCTGAGCTAACTCGTCTGCTTCTTGTTTTCCTGGTGGCATTGTCGCCTGATGTGCAGACACATGGTACACTGTTATTGTCATTCCCCGGACAGGTTGCCAGATATCATCCCAGAGTTCTGCCCCCCCACAATGGACGACCATTAATAGTCCACTTTTGTCGTGCCCCTTGTGCCATCTGCAGAGTGAGCCCTTTATAGATTGCCTGACTGTCCGTACACAGACACATTGGATTTGGTTTATGAGTCGGCACCATCCAGGCAGCCCACAATTTGGCCCATTGACTACTGTACCCAGAGCCAGAGTCCAACCACATGCTGTCGATTGAAGGCTGGATGGCCACTGCTGTCCACTGTGGGGGTGGGGGAGTTTGCCCATTGCAGAGCCAGCCATATACCAGGCCTCTACCGGGATTGGTCCTTCTCCTTCCTGTACATGTGGCAGGGTTTCAGGCCTGGGCACCTCATCTAACGGGGTTGTTTCTTCTGTGGTGTATGTTACCGGTCCTAGGATGGCATGCAACTCTGCACTCAGGGGCTACTGGTGAGGGTCCCTCATTGTTGCAAGTATGCATGCCATTTTGCCAATGTCTGTGTTTGGGCTGCTTCCCAGTGGGGCTTCTGGAAAGCATCCTGCAGCCACCCTGCAATGGGTTGATGAGTATGGACTGTGACTGGCAGGGAACGGGTTATGGGCTCCACCTGCTAGAGGGCCAGGTAAGCAGCACACAATTGTCATTCCAGGGTGCTATACCAGTTTTCAGCCCCTTTCCACAATTGGGGCCAGAAGCCAAGGAGCACTCGTTTATTGCCTTGCCTCTGCCAGAGACCTCATCCGAACCCTCTGGGTAACTGGAAATGTCCAATCCACAACCAAGGACTGGATTTGTTCACTGTTACTTTGGCTTGGGTGAAGGTCTCCTGCTCGGTGGTCCCCCTTTCACCCCAACTTATAAAGAGGATGATGTAGTTGGGCTAGATGAGAAAGAAAAGGGCTCCAATAATCTAATGAGCCCAGAAAGGTCTGTAGTTGTTTTGGGATGTTGAGTGTTGGGAAAGCCTCTATCTAATCTATAGAACAGCAGCAGGAACCACTTTTGTCTTACCTGACCAGACAACACCCAAATATTTGACAGACAACCCAGGCCCTTGTGATTTGTTGTTGTTTACCACCCATCCTTGCTGATGTAGGCGGGCGACGAGGGAGCAGGAGGCTTCCTGGAGGTCTAGAAAAGACTCAGAGGTTAACATGGCATCACTGAGATACTGAAACAAGGTAGCATCAGGGGCTTTTGCCCTCTGGGCCAGGTCAGTGGCCACAAGACCATGACAAATTGTGGGACTATGGAGATACCCTTAAGACAGAACAGTGAAAGTCCATTGTGTGCCCTGCCAGGTGAAGGCAAAGTGGTTTGACTGCCTTCATCCAGGGTGATGCTGCAAAAGGCATTAGCAAGGTCCAGACCAAAATGAGAGGTCCCCAGGGCATCCCCTATTTGCTCTAAGAGGGAGGCTATACTGGGGACAGCAGCCTATATAGGCGGTGTTACTTTGTTCAATTCTTTATAGTCCACAGTCATTCGCCAGGTCCCATCTGGCTTCCGGATGGGCCAAACGGGGCTACTGAATGGGCCACATGTAGGTCTAATGATTCCTACCTTTGCCAACTTCTGTATAGTTCCCATGATTTCATCTTGTCCCCCGCGGGAGACGATATTGCTTTATTGTCACCACACGACGCAGTTGGGGCAACTTCACTGGAGTCCATTTGGCATGGCCCCTTATTACAGCTTTAATCATGCAGACCTGGAGATGAAAT